TAAAACTTGTTAGCTTTAATCACTAAGTAGATACTATTAAATATGATTATAGAAATACATACAAAAAAATCTCAGCTTGATTTTTAAATTGAATCCTTTTTAATCGAAATCCGTTCGGTTTTTAGCCAGTATCCGGCCGGATAGTCTATCGGATACCTATCACATCCCTACTTAGAAAAGTAATTTTGAAAGCTCCCAGCTTTAAGATGAAACTGCCCATTCCTCATTAAGATATGTATGTATGTATTTTGAAGACATGTCTTATTAAATTCTTGGAACTCTGGCTCTTCGTTCACAGCATCATCATGGAAAAAAAGAAATATTATCTAAAACTAATTTGGCCTTGCTATTTACCATTTGTGCATGCGGGGGCGTGTGGATATAAAAATAAGTTTACATATACATACCTTGTTTTATTTACACTGAAAATAATTAGCAGTATTTCGATGTTAAACACAAAAAAGATCAATTGAAGCTTCACAAATTTTGCTAAGAGCTTGGCCGAGCTATTGCTTCAAGTTTTGGTGAATGTTGTCACACAAAAGGGAAGACCTACAGTTCGATGGCACCTTCCAACAGCAGATGGTTTCTTATAAAAAAAAAATTTTCAAGACTAATAGAAAAGGCATGTTTTTGGTTGTTGAATCACTAATCACACAGGAATCAAACCTACATTTCAGTTTAATTCAATAAAATCCGTTCAGAGCGTACGGTTCTCAAAGAGGACCAACTCAGTCCACATAATGACTCTGGTCTTTAAAAGGCAGTTGCGGATACTTCCCGCGCCAAGTCGCGAAATTGCAGCCAAAATTTGAAGCGTGAAAGGGGCCCAGATAGCTGCTTGGCTGTTTGGAAATTTGACTAGCAAGGCACCCCGCAAACCATTTTCAAGGTTTAATTTGGCGAAGGTTAATACTGCTAAGGCTTCAGCAGTAGGCCAGGTACCGGGCCCATGGATGCCTGTACTTATGCTGCCGCGCCTACTATTTCTGTGTGCGGAAATCTTAAATCTTACCAGCAGTGGAATTCTGACAATCGCCACGCTAAATTTTCGTCGTCTAAATTCTCAAAATGAAAAGCAGTGGGGCCTAAAAGTATACAGCAGGTTAAAGTAATAGCTGCAATGTGTAGGTTCAACCAAATCTGGCGGTATGAGGGGCATGCAACTAGATGTTACATATTATTAGGCGCGCCTGCTATTCAATAGAGATTTTTAGCGACTGCAGATTATTGATTTTACAATTTTTTTAGCTAATATGTATCCAGAACATATGTATGTGTAGTACATATAAAACTTTTGAAATTTAAGTATCTCACATGAATATATTCTGGCAAGTATTTTTCGAAATTGAAATACTTTCAATTTTGCACTGTGTTTAGTTGCGCGAATTTTGGAGATCCCAAATTGTCAATGAAAGTGAAAATGTGTGAAAATAAAATCCTCATTGGGCTATTATTGAACGATAAATTGATTAGATTTGCATTGTATGTGCGATTCGGTGTGTAAAGATATGACTGCGTGCATGCGTACACATGCCCATACACAAATACATGATTGTAGTGGGGTCCCAATACACTTATCAACTATATGCAGTGCTAAGGCGTTCACTTATATGCACATATGTATGCACTTGTGTACATTAGGGTGGTCCAAAAATGCATATGAAAAGGTAAAGTTGGAATTTTTATGCTCTCCCCCCCCCCCCCCCCCCCNGGTGGTCCAAAAATGCATGTGAAAATGTAAAGTTGGAATTTTTATGCTCTCCCGACTAGGATTGTTCTATACCGAAAAAATATACCCCCAATTTTTTATTTTGGAATCAAAAAATATTTATAGGTCGCCCAAAGCGCTTAAAGTTTTTCATGTATTTTATAACGGAAAAACAACTTTTCGTAGAAATGGTATAGAATTCTTGAAAATCAATATTTTTCGATCGGAAAACTCTGTTTCTCTTCAGGAGACTCCCAGTAGTAATACTCAATTATTAAATTTTTTCGATATAGAACAATTTACTTTTTTTTTGGACCACCCTAGTGTACGTACATACATATGTATCTATGTTAGTAGGTATTTCTAGCAATTGCAATGTTAATTTTATTATGGGGTGTCGGCAATAAATTCAATCCAATCTTTACTGCTGTCACTATCGCAACATAAAATCTTTTCCTAAAAAAATCGTCGATGCTCTTCTTTGAGTGTCTCACAGAAGCCGATGCTATTTATGTCTATGTGCTAAGTGTTTGTCGTATCAAAGTATTTAAGCTAAGAGCAAATAATTTTGTTTACATATACGCACACTTACTTCATGTATATATGTATGTATGTAGATACTTTATAGCTTGGCTAGTGTACATGTATTACAAGAAGACACATTTCGTATCCTTAAATAAGAGCTTTAATTTCGTATGTCAGTATTAGATTGGCTTAGTTTCGTCGAAAATAAAATAAAATATTTCTTATGTTTTTATTTGAGGCCACATAACAATTTACTAATTCGTTTTGTATTGCAAATGGTATTTTTTAAATGAGTATCGAAAAAGATTATTTTCATATCATTACCTTACCTGCTTTTTACAAAGTTCGGAAGAATATTCACTAAAAGCTTAATCGAATTTAAAAACCAATAGTACACCTATAAATGAGTTTCACTGTTTATTAAAACCCAGGATATTTAAGAAATTCTCAAATGAACAACTCTAGTTTTTTTTTTTTAGTTTTGTTGCTACTCTGTAAAGACACACAAATTTTAAATAGGGCCTTTCTTCATTAAAGTATCGATATTTACACACTTTTATTCATTTTGAAGAAAGAAGGAGTTATTGAAACTAATTTTTCCGACCTTTAATAAAGCGGAAAAGAAAGAACCTTTACCATTTTTTTTACTCGTTCTTATTCAATTTATTTTCATTAGTTTGCAGTCCCTCGCACCCTAATATAGACGTTGCTAATACAAATATACTGCATTCAATACACTTCACAGCTGCGTTCACTGCTTTGTTTATTATAACTCTGGTGCCAATTAATGATTGTGGGCCAGGATAAACTATCCAAAAATCTGGATAATTGGTATATAACTCATGGGACAAAGAATGTGAAATAATAGTGATTAAGCTTTGATAGACGCAAACACTTGCTACACATCAACATTACACACATACGAATAAATTTTATGTCCATGCATTAAGGGGCGATTGAGATTGAGAAGTGAGATTGCCACTTTAACTTTCAGATTGTTTAGTTAAACTGCGGAGAAAATTAAAGCAAAAAATTTGAAATATTTAAGTAACTGAAGATGTTAAAATTTTGAGTTAGTTTCGCAAAGAAAACACTGCTAGTTCTTTAATATCCTGATAGACAGCCGCAGACTATAAAGTCCAGAGTACAAATTTTAAGATGCATGAATGATTTTAGTCGCTGGTGAACTTTGGCCAAAACATAACGATAGACTTTAATGCAATGCTTTCTTTTGTTTATTTTTCTTTCGTATCGATTTAATTGGCACTCTAACGATTTTATGAAAGTTTTCCTACTGAAAATTTTTTGTAAATCGTGACGTATAAATGTTGCGATTTTTTACTTTTTTACCCATTAACCACGAATTTCAGTGTTTTCTTAATACAAATGGAAAATTACCTTAGCAATAGTCAACTGAAATCCATTCTAATTTACATTGAATGCGCTTTATTATAAAGAATGACACAAAGAAAAATGACAATTTCTTAAAAAAAGATTCTCAGAAATTAAAAATAGAAACTTCATTTTCAGTAGATATTTTTTTTTTAATCTGTTCAGAATCATGATGCAATAATGAAAGGTGTTATACGTTGGCAACTTCTCGCTCTAATCCGCCATCTTGAACTACCTTAGGAGAAACTGTGTTGTTTCTTTGCTAATTTCACTGAACATTTCCCAAAATATTAGAAAAAAATTCTAAACAAGCTACATTTATTCAATTTTCGTTGTTCGTTTTGTTCTTATTCGCTGACATTTGTTTTCTAATTGCTTGAAATTTGGTAAGTATTGTAATAAAACCGATTTATTTTACAAATTAATTATAATTTTGCATTTATTAGGTAATTTCCTTAGTGTTTTCCTGGCCGACCTGTGCTGGTATTGTAATTAANTTTAAGTGCGCTAAAACCTGTATTTTGTTTTTGCTTTTACTGATTTGACAGTGGCCGCTTTGGTGTAGTGGTTAGCAGTGCGCGCTATCACTCCGCAGGGCCTGAGTTCAAACCCGGTTCAAACCGACATAAAAAAAAATTGTATTTGCTAATTGCAGTCGCCTCTTGGCACGCAATGGCAAACCTCGAAGTGAAGTGACTGAAGAGCAATGAAGTAAACCTGAAGTAAGCTGTTGCTCGAGCCAATCCTCCCCACTTCCTCTAGATAGCGACGCCCATGTTCTGGCCATTGACCTGGGTTGAACATTGACCCGTATTATTTTAACTCCAACAGTTCTTCATCGCTAATTCTTAACAAAATTATGATGCTCTATACATTTTTTAGCCTTGCGAATTCCAAAGAATATATTTACTACCCACATTCCTGAGCTCAAAATTTCTTAGAAATTAAATACGTAATAAGTATTACAAAAATTTTAAAGACCATAAATTTCGCAATTTTCTTTTCAGCTACTTCATGAAAAGAGGCTATTAAGTACTTCAATAAATATAACTGAATGCGCAAGGTTAAATTATTTGGGGTTGTAGCCCCGTAACTAACTAAGTATTACATAACAACGAACTTAATTTGCTCACTGCCGAGGCAAGCATATGCGCAAACCTAATCAGATTAGCTGCTCATCCAACCAATGTCGCCATTCCTGTCTCACAGTTAATTCGTCGAATATTCAAACAATAATTTCCATCGGAATAGTTGAACAGCATTCGGACAAACAGCGGGCGATTTCAAGAAAAAACCCACACACATAGACGAATGCTTCCGGCCATAAGTTGTAATGCATTAGACGCACTTTGTGTGGTAATGTTGCGTGGTATTTAATTACCAAGGCGCCCTTGTAACAACAGCAGCAGCAGCAGCAGCAGCAGCAGCACGAACAGCCACATCAGCTGCAACGGCAGCAGCAACGAGGTTACAACGCAACGCCACACGGACAGACGCAGCACAGGACAGCACCAGCAACGTTTGCGCAAAATTAACGAAACAGGCAGTGGAAGCACCGAACGCAGCTGTGGCACCAAACAAACGAACACCGATATTTGACTACAAAATAACAACAACGTCTGCTGAGGTTGAGCCAAATCAGGAGTGTCGTAAAGTAGTGGTGGCGGTGGAAGCAGCATCTACAGCAGCTGCAAAACAACACACAAATACGTCAGCAGCATCAACGGCAACAACGAGCCATTACGTCAATCCGATCAATTTACATGGTATTCGAAAGTGCCACCAAAGTCGAGTGCACAAAAATCAATCCCAACGCAATAATCGTGAAACTTTACATCTTACCCCAACACTAGTCGCTGTGCTGTCGCTGCTTCTGTGCTGGTGTGTGTCAGACGTGGCAGGAGCTTCGCCTGTGGCTTCAACTGCAAGTGATAATGACGTGCATGGCGATAACGCTAGTGTCGATATCAATAACGCGTTAGCTTTGCCAAGTGTTGCTGCGAACCTCAGCAGGAACCCCTGCGCTCTAAATGTACAACGAAACCATGACTGCCACTCAACGCTTCCCCATGGCGATGACTACAATATCAATGGGAACGTTTACAATGTACAACAATCCATTACCAAAACTACAGTTTCACTTCAATTCATACAACCCGCAGAAGAAGTATTCGACACCGCAACTACCATCAAATCTATCGCCACTGCCAGCGAGGCCGCCGCCACCACCGTGGAGAGTGCCACCGTCGCTTCGCTCCTCATCATCACTGCCACCAGTTCCACTGGCAATGTGTCGGCTGTGCCCGACACTGATGAACTGCCACAAATTCCTGCATACATACGCACCACAGCGATGTGTTTTTGCATAGCAATCATGACGCTCGGTGTTATTGGCAACATTATGGTAAGTAAATACTCTGTGTGTGTTTGCATTTGTGTGGTGGTTGTACGTTGCGTATGAGTAATCAACTGTGGAATTTCGTTATTAAGCTAGTTTCACTTTTCTTTTCGATTTACATACATACATACATACATACATCAATGCTTACTTCATATGTAGGTGCCAATTGTTATAGTGAAAACCAAAGATATGCGCAACTCCACCAACATATTTCTCACCAATCTCAGCATCGCCGATCTGCTAGTGCTGCTTGTTTGTACGCCAACTGTTTTGGTCGAAGTGAACACCCGACCCGAGACCTGGGTGCTGGGCCATGCCATGTGTACGTACGAGTTTCATTACAACAGTTTCATTAAATTAAATGCATATTTATCCACAGTGTAATGTAATTCTTGTTTCTTTTAATTTCCTCCCACTTTTTCTTTCTCAGGCAAAGCAGTGCCATTTGTTGAGCTAACAGTCGCGCATGCTAGTGTTCTGACGATTTTGGCCATCTCTTTTGAACGCTATTACGCTATCTGTGAACCACTGAAAGCCGGCTATGTTTGTACAAAAGCTCGCGCCATCCTTATTTGCATACTGGCCTGGTGTATTGCTGCTGGCTTCACAAGGTATGTAAGTGTTTTGGGATGTGAGTAGGTATAATGTACATATGTATGTATATGTCAACACCTTCCCGCAATNCAAAATCTAATTTTTTCATAAAATTTTAAATTTGTTTACTTTTAACAAAAAACCGAAACTTTACAAATCAGTGCATTTTTTATAGGTACCTCACTTAGTATGTATTTTTGAGTAGAAAGTAAAAAAATTAACGCAAAAAAATATAATTAATATTTTGATGATATTTCTTGAGCAGAAAATAACCAGTCATTTTTACATTTTGTTATTGAAACATTCAAAAATATTCCGAATTATACTCGTATTAATCCAAAACATCCTGAAAAAATCCGAAAAGTCTCGAAAGGTACCGGAAAAGTTTTGAAGACTCCGGAAGATTCACAAATATAAAGGTCACTAGAAATCTCTTAAAGTCATGTCGAAAAGTCTGAAGTTCTTAAATCGGGATCGCCGAAAATGGATAACTGAATAGACTTAAAAAAATTTCCGGAAACTCACAAAAAAATTCGAAATATCAAAAAAAAACTTCGAAAGTAATAGAGAAGATTACCAAACGATCACAATAAAAACCGATCAAGTACCGAAAACAATACTGAAAAGTCCTGAAGTCACGAAAATAATCTCGAAAAAACTCCGAAAGGTCCAACTTCTTAAAAAGGCGTGAACAAATTTAAGATTGTTCAGAAAAATTTCCGAAGATTACTGAAAACGCCCGCAAAGAATCGAGAAAATCCTGGAGGAACTTTAAAAAAACATTGAAAGTCTCGACAAAATCCGAAAAAAATTCGAATTTCTCCAAAAATTCCGAAAAAACCAAAACCTCTAAATTCCGACAAATTTTAAGAACTCTGAAACTGTTCTGAGTAAATATCGATGGATCACAAAAATCCCCGCTAAGATGAAAAACAATATTGAAAAGTCCTTAAAAGACCTCGAAAAGTCACGAAAACAATTTTGAAAAATTCTGAAATGACCGAAAATTTCTAAAGACTTCGAGACTGCTTTGAAAAAATACGAAAAAATCACAAAACCAGTATAGAGTATTGCAAAAAATCCTTAAAGAAACTTAAAAAATTACGAAGTTCTCGAAAAAATTCAGAAAAGTCTCGAAACATTCAGGTAGAGTTCCAGTTTCGTGGGCACCAAAAAAGAATTTTGAAAGGTCTCGAAAAATCCCGAGCACTTTTAAAAACAATTTCAGAAGAACTCCGAAATGTCGCATAAAACCCCAAGGATCGAGAGTATCGAAAAGCCTAGAAAAATCACAAATAAATTAATTTTTTTTTTTATTAATTGCCAAATGTGAATGCAAAAAATTACCACTTTTTTCCGGAAAAGCTTCGAAACATATTCGAAAAAATACCACAAGATCACGAAACTCTCCTAAAAATCTCAAATCGTGCTAGTAGAGTTCTCAAAGCTCTTAAAAAATCGCAAAATTTCCCGAAAAAAATTCCAAAAGGTTTCGAAAAATGCCGAGAAGTTCGAAAACAATTAAAATTCCAAAAGTTAGCAAAAACCTCTCGAAACCCGATAAATAAAAAATAATTTCACGTAATATCAAAATAAAATTTATCACTTTTTTCTGGTCAGCAAAATATCAAGGATGGTTAGGTTCGGTTAGCTTGGCTTAATCTTAGTCACAATGCACTATCCTTCAGTGAGAAAAAATCGCGATCTGACAAAAGCCGGACAATGACAAAGTTTCCTGTATTTTTTGCTCAAGGTAATTGTATGCCGACAAACCGGCTGCCGGTTAAGCGGTGGACCGGAACGTGCAGGCATTTTTTACAATATTGAATAAAGTGATAGTTCAAACATTGCGGAAAGTGGAAAAAATATTAAATCTTGTTTGATACAAACTTTTTTCCGCGACCCAATGTAATGTACATACTTACATACATGTAAAGTGTAGTAACAATTCTAATCATTTTAGTGTAGTTGCCATATGCTTATGCAGACAATGTTTTTATAAATATGTGGTACTTCAAGAGTTTGAAATTTCATTTGTAACCAAATGCCAATAGTATTATTACACCTATACAATGCTTGTAGGTATTTTCATGTATTTACGAAGAGTATTTGTTAGTTTTGCATTCAGAAAGTTTTATACAGATTTTATTGCACAAACACATTATTTTTATTTTCTTTTGTACTTTTTTGGTATTGCCTGCAATTTGAATATTATTTTTATGTCTTTTGTCCATACTCGCAGTCGTTCTTTATTATTTCGATTTTACGATGCTGTCGCTCATTTAGCATGCCTTGAGTTACATGTGTAGATGCAAAAATAAAAATAAAATAAACACAAAATGCATATTTAAAATTAAAACGTAGCTACATATTAAAAAATCTAAATATGTATTGTGTAGGCGAGCAGCAAAAGTCGGCCTTTAGCTCTTATTGTAATTATTTTCGCCGTCCATCAAAATTGTAGCCATTGTCGGCTGTCATTGTGCGCCCATTATCAACACTCCATGTTAGTACGTTAGTGTGTTTGTAAATGGGAGTTTCGTCCTTTTTCACAAATGTTAATATTATGTATGATTTTTTTCTTCATTTTTGCAACTTTTATTTACCGCGACCCTTTTTAATTTGTTTCGAAATTTTATTTGTATTATTTTGCGCGACTGTGTGTCGCCTTAAGACCACATTTAAAAAAGGTATATTGCACAATAGAATGAGGTAATCGCATACCGAAACGAGCAGCGACCTTTGCTACCACCCACGGACATTGTCGTCACCGTCGCCATTTATCGCACACCAGCGTGCTTATAGGCCCTCAGGCATTAATAGATATAGTATTGTGTGTGCTCTTTAATTGCGCGCTTCCACATCCGGCTAGCTATTCTGTTCTGTGACAGCAAGAAAAAAGTAATCACTTCCTTGACTTTATACATAGGATAAGCGTAAACGGAAATCAATCATAATAGACATGCTGTTTCTTAATTCACACCACGCAGATTAGGTAAATGTTAAGTCATCTAAAATAAATTGAAACTAACACAGTTTAGGTTTGCCCTCATGGAAAATATTTATCCAAAATCCCTAATAGCATTGACGCGCAAGCAAACACATTCTGTGAAATAAGTTCCGCATCTGAATATCTGAAGTTTCAATTCGATTCAAGCATACAAATAGGAATACGAAAACGGATAAGAAATCGTACTAATAGGAATGCAAATCCAAATATGAATATAAATTTGAATATATGTAAATATGAAATATAAATCCGCACACAAGTACCATTACGATACCTATCATCAAAGCAAATCGATAAGAAAAGGTATATAAAATCAGCATTAAAACTCAATCCCTGTTCCCGTTTGGTAAAGTTTTTCATATAAAAACTGACTAGAGCAGCGGTACTCGCCGGCGCCAATGCGTAAAGGTCCGTAAATCCCCCCCCGAAAAATCTTTCTGTCGAATACTCCAAGAGCCGCCTGATCGAATGTTGTCATTGTCCATGCTTCTGAGTGTGGTTTTCGTACCTCGAGAGCGGATCTTACTTCTGAATTGCCTACTCAGTCCAAAGTAGCTGTTGCTTTGCCCAGATATATACTTAAGCCACAGATAGAAGGCCCATTGTGTTACCACAGTTTGACACAGTTCAATTATGCTCGCTATTGAATCACTTCGTGTCGCCGATGAATCTCATCAGGCACCTTGCTTCGGTATTTGAAACCTCCCTAAGGTCGGCCCGGAACAGTGAACCCCGTTCACGCAGCCTGTGTTTCTAAACAGTGCAGGGCATATATACAAGAGATGCAAGACTGTTTCCTCCTCTCGTGGTCCTTATAGTTTCTGCAACATCTTCGGAAAGACACGTTGAGCCTTTCTGCATGCTTACCTATTACACAGTGCCCGGTTAAAGCCACCACAACGTTGGAGGTATCCTCTCTTATAAGAGAGTATACCCCTCGTGACCGCTTCCGATCCCATTTAAGCCACATATGCTGGAAATTCGACAAGTCGTACTTTGATTTCATCTTTCCTCAACTTTTTAAATTCACTTAGTAGCAGCTTCCTTTGCATTGCAAGTTCATCTGCCACGCAGTTCATCTCTATTTCCCTATGACCCAAGACCAAGTGAGGTGAATGTAAGAAATTAAATATTCATTTCATTTAAATTTTCGGGACCAGTACACGACTTTTTCATATACTTTTCATAAAGCTTCGCGATGTCCAGGCTATTTCAGATAATTTCGTGATTAGTTTCGAACTACCCCGTAATTACTTCCGAACTAGACCTGAAATTTTCCGGAAGTGATTCTGAAATATTCTGAATTTGTGCCGAAATATCTCAAGCAAGTCTTGGAACGAGCCCGAAATGGGGCCAAAACATCTCGAACTAGTCCTGGAATAGTCCTGAACTAGGCCCCAAATGGTTTTCAAATAGTGGTGCACTAGCACCAGGTCTCGAAATGACTCCGAAATGGTCCTTAGAAAGACCTGAACATATCTTGAAATGGGCCTTAACTAGGCTTGAATTAGTCCCAAAATGGTCCTGAACTAGTCCAGAAATGTCCATTTCTACGTACAAGAAGTAATTGCAGATTTTCTGTTATGTTACACAAGAAACAGTTACAATTTTTCTGCTGGTGTAATGCAAATTTTACCCATACCGAGAGCTAAGATGTTTACACATCAATAACATTAGACACCAATCAGCCAACTGATAAGACTGAAGAGACTCAGTCCCAAAAACAAACCCCTGCCTAGCCTTTTTTGACCATCTTATTTACGCGAAGGAACTTATTTGGCAGAATGTGTAAAATTTGTATTCCTTGCATAGCCCTCATACCTTATTTTACTCTATTTACATTTTAGTCCCATTATTTGGGTAGCCGATTACAAATACGTCGAATACATTGATGGATCATCGGTAGCGGTGTGTTTAACGCAAGCAGTCACCAACTGGACTATGGGATACTTTTTGATGACAATATCCACTTTCTTTATTCTACCTCTGCTCATCCTAGTCGTACTCTACGCTATAATAGCCAAAAATCTTATCTCCAGTAACGGTCCAATGTTACGTATTCGACCAACGAAACCAGAACTGAGCCTAAAGGCTCGCAAGCAGGTCGTGCTCATGCTAGGCGCTGTCGTTTTATCTTTCTTCCTTTGTTTGCTGCCGTTTCGCATGCTCACCATGTGGATTATACTAAGTTCGGAGCAGACATTCTTCGATATTGGCGTTGAACGTTATTACAGCCTCTTATACTTCTGTCGCATTATGTTCTATCTGAATTCAGCCATCAATCCAATACTCTACAATCTAATGTCCACAAAGTTTCGCAAAGGTTTCCTACGTCTCATATTGAACGCATGGCATGGCGCTGCTATGTCGTTGACATGCGGTTGCCATAGGCGCATACGTGCACGCACCGGCACCATAACTGGCGTGGGAACAAACACCAATACCAACACTTCGAACACGGCCACCAGCAATGCAACATCGTCCAGTTTACTTTCGCGTCAATCGAATCGCCGCTACAGCGATGACACAATCCAAACTAATGCCAGCACAAGGCGGCCTTTTACAAAGACGCAAATACAAATTCAGATGCATATGCCCTGTGGCATGGAGAGTGAGATATTAGCGATGCTGCACAGTAGCGTGACGGCAGTTGCTGCGACGGCGTTGGCTATTGAGGATGAAGCGCTCGAAAAGAAAGGCATTGCTGAAGACGGCAAACGGAAGTACTTTACAATCCGGAAGTATAAAACGCAGTCGATAATGCGCGAGCAAGCAGAGGCAGAGCAGGAGCAACTACCTGTAACAAAGTGTGCCAATGTGCCAGGTCGACGCTCGGTGCATGTAAGTTTCGATGATGAGGAGGCTATTATTTTGACGTGATACGCTTAAGGCGAAGAGGCTAAACCAGGAATGCATTTTTGGCGATAAAATCGAAGTGAAAGTGATTGTGTATCTACTTACTTATGTATGTAAATGTGTTAATGTGTGTGCGGTTGGCTATGTTTATATTTATATGTATTTTAAGACTATAGATATGTGTAAATTAAATTATCTAATATAACCTATATTTTCTACGAATTTTTCGAGGTCAAAATAAACACACCGCCATTTTCTTATTATTTAATTTTAATTATAATAGCGAAACTAACTCATGTAAAACGATAAGATTAAATATTAGCTTATAATATTTTCAAATACAAGGATAAAATATAATTTGTTTTGTAATTAACATGAATCAAAGCACGAGAATTGAGATGGTCGGGAGGATTTAAGTAATGCAGAAATTCTGGTAAACAGAGGGCTAGCGATATTTCGATACTATTCCATACTGGATATTGCAGTAGGCTAAACTCTTCAGTCGAATTTGAATAAGATGGCCGACGACATTAACCACCTCTTTGTATGCCCACTCACATCAGCTCATCTAACATCCCTCACCCTACGGCTCGTACCCGTAGGATGTACCCTTTTCCTGAGCCTACAGTTAGATCAGAATGAAGACAACACTTATGGTGATTTCGTTTCTACCAAAAAATGTCGCCCTTCGATTGCCTTTTTTTCTTTTCGTGTTCGATTCTAAATTAAAGGCAAAGGGTGAGAAAATTGTGTGTTCGTTTCTTAAAATGTCACACTCTTGTAAGGCAAATAAGGCACCTTTTCTGCCCTTTGAAGCTTTGTCAGGGGAGATGGTTGCCCTGAAAATCAGATAGTTGCTTAAAACGATAATATGATGAAATTTGTGATCTGGACAAGGACAAGAAAGCAAAACATGCATTTTCAAAGGGTTGAGTGTAACATCAAACACATTTTGTACCGTGCAAGGGCAACATTTTTTGGTAGAAAGGAAATCACCATAAGTCAATTAATTGATTTAGACAGAGTTTAGTTTCTGCTACAACAAAAAAAAAACAAAAGAGTGAAAGATTTTCATTTAGTTTTCCTTTTAATCTTAAACGACTTCAAAAAAAGGAGGAGGTTATCAATTTTCCAGAATATTTTTTATGTATGTTTTTAAAGGAAAGATGGTATCTCAGAGGTCCTCTCATACTGATTTTGTTTAGATCCGATCATTGGATGATGAAGAAACCAACGGTACTCTTAAATTTGTATATGACAATTAAAGTCGGTTTTGTTTTTTGCTTAAAAATTGCTTGTTTTAAGTAATTTTCGGCAATGGAAAGCCTTACAGTATTCAGATATAAAAATAATAAAAGTATTACTTGACGATCAGAATTGCCTTCAGCGTTTCCACTTCCGATCGAGCTTCGTCCAAAGTTTGTTTACTGTAGAAAAAATTCTGAAGTTCCTGGCAAGTATAAAATTTATTCTGGCGATTGTTTCGTTGTATTCGGCAATCTGCCTTACCGAAATGGTTGAATATTTCCACCCACACACACTGAGATTCACACACTGATAAAAGAGTCTGCTAAATATATTTTTCTCAATACAATATATAGTAACTATAACCAAATTAGATATTGAGATATTTAAACATAATTACTCCACGTGACTAAACTCTTTTCTCAGTGCATTCGAAACATGATCGCCCTCACAATTCTTATCTGTATTGCGAAAACGAATTCGCAAATTGCAGTATTTTGGAAGAAAGCCGCATGTATGTAGTTTTTTAGTTTGAAAAACAGCATAAATGCCAGCGTTAGGCATAAACATAAGTAAATATTGCTCATATATATACGGATAATGTTAGATCAATTCTTAAACCAATGTCCAATTTAAAATCCAAACTTTTTTCCAAGAAAACTGCCATTTTTTATAATTTAATATATAAGAATTTAGCCCGCTTCTTTTGACTAGGTATATTCCATACTTGAAAAAAACATTATTTTATTATAAAAAATAATTAAAAAAAATATTTTTTTTATATAAGTCAGCAAAAGTATCAAACGATAGCTACATAAGAACACTTGTATCCCAAAATCAAATGTACTGCCACCTCTATTTATTTTAGGTTTTGTCGTAATTTCCGCAAATCCTTTTTTTTTTGTAACATGCAGAGAAAATATAGATTGATACCTCATTATTATTATTTCTAAATGTGTATTACAATTTTNCTTCCAAGCACACAGAAGAAGCTCGCCGTACAACTCTGAGTCTAAAGTATTTATGTAGGATAACTTCGTAAAAAAAAAAACTTTTTTTCACATACGGCAATAAAATTCTACTGGAGTAATCAAAAAACTTTCTTAGCAAAAGGTTAACAATTTACTGACATTAGGGTAGTACGTTATGATGATAAGAACCAGATCTGTAACAAAAGGGTCATACTTTAATTTATTTTATAAATTGCTTTGCAAAAATAGTTTAAACTTTGGGGCTTACGGCGAACTTTTTTGTATCAGTATGAACAAAAATCGAATAAGAAAAGGAACGGTGATAAATTA